GCAAGTACAGGAAATCTGTTGCTCGTCAATATCAGCCAGAAAACAAAGCCATCGTTTCTATTTACTCAGAGAGTGTGTGCCCATCTAATTTTCCATTGACACTGCCATTTTAGTTTTCTATCCTCAGCAAGGGTTTCAAACTATTCACACAGCTTTACATTTTTTCTCCCAATAATCTTAAAACAAATCTGATCCATTGCACACTTTGTTTTGAGTTCAAAGTAATGAACTTAGTCATAACAAATTATACTTGCTAAGGATGAAGAAAGAACCTAACATCGATATAGCATTGTCAAAAACAGTGAATGTTTCAATTGAAAAACTGTAATCGTCATACTAATTTTGTGTAACGAACTTGGTAAACGTTCTGCTATTCATGAAAAACCAGTAACTGAACGATACTTACCCAGCATCTTTCACCAATAATTCAGAGTAGTAACTAAAAAAAAAGGACTGTTTTTCTATAATTTCTATGGCGTGTAGTTGTGGAATTTTTGTCGCACTTGACACAGCAAATTGTTTCATCGGGCAATTCCGCAGTGTGCTCTTGCGATTGTCGGATTTAATCATTTTTAAAAAGTTTGCCATTTTTATTGTCATGGTAATTATGTAAACAATGACTGTCCAGTTTGTGCGTACTTGTCCCGCTATACTTATGCTTTTGAATCATATACGTTTGAAACAGACAGAGAATGCTTTATTCAAAAACGTCATCAAACCCTTCTCGCTACCTTAATCCTAATCCTAACTCTAACCCTACTCTCAGTTTCCTCACACCTTAATTGTATCTAGAGGGGCATATTCAATTGAATTGGGGAGCTTGGATTAGGGTACCGGTACATGTATATGTTTTTTCCATGAGATTGAATATTGATGTTGTGTAAGCGTTGTTACTGCTTTGCCCCAAGTGATTCTACTTGAAATAATTAAACCCAAATATTTATAGTACCCAACGGTATTTACAGGATTGCCATTTAGAAAACTTCTTTTAAGTATCCCCCACGTCTAAAAACTATAATTTGTGTTTTAGTCATATTTACTGCCATTTTCCAAGTTGAACAAAAAGAGGCTAATATTGCCAAAAGTCTCTGCAGCCCAATAGGGGAGTCACTGAATATCGCAACATCATCAGCATACAAGAGTGAGAATAAATTAATCAACTCTTGTGTAATTTTGTATTCCTCGATACTCTGAATTTTCCAGCATACTATTTAGTTCATTTATAAAAAGTGAGAACAAAAAGAGGCTAAGCATACACCCTTGTCCTACACCCGCATTACATGGGAAATAATTTGTAATACCATACTGGCACTTCATACATGATTTGACTTCTTTATACATAGATTTTAAAATATTCAACATTTTCCCACCAACGCCATCAATGCAAAGTATATACATCAGTAAGTTGTGATTAACTGAACCAAACGCTTTGCTGAAGTCAACAAACACACAGTAGAACCGTCCTTTTGATTTACTTAAATATTTCTGTACCATAACATGAAGAGTGAAAATATTGTCAACAGTACAATAACCCTTTCTACAACCTGCTTGGGACCCTGTGACACACCCAATAGAGTCTACCAGCCTTTTATTCAAAATGTACGTAAACATTTTACTTAGGGAGTTTAGTAACGTGATTCCTCTGTAATTTTGGGGGTCATTTATATTGCCTTTTTTATGTTAAAGAACGATAAATCATTTAACTCATTCCTCTGGAAAAAAACCTGCGTCAAATATTGCATTATAAAAGCAAATTTCAAAACTGGAATAAGGGCATTTTTTGAACACCTGTAAAATATGTGAATCCCTTGAAATAGAGGATGAATTCCACTTCGTTTTAAAACGCCCATGTATGAAAACATTAGAAAAAAAATGTTTACCCTCATGGTCATATACTTATCCAACATTATAGAATTTTTTTTATTCCATTATGTTAAATAACTGACGAAATAATCCCAAAACTAGCAATGTTTGTACATAAAGCACAAATTCTGAGACAAGAATGTATTAACATGAGGTGACTTTTGACCTCAGGAAAGAATAGTTGCCTTTAAGAAAGAATAGTGGCCTTTAAGAACAAATAAAGATTCTTCTTCTAATATTGATGTGTTTTTTTATGGATTTATAGGAATCTTGCAATTGGTATTGGAATTCAAAATTTCCCAGAAGGCCTTGCAGTTAGTCTTCCACTCAGAGGTTCAGGGTATTCTACGTGGAAAAGTTTTTGGTAAGTTGTATCATTCTTGAACTATGTTCTTATTTGTCATAAATCGTAGTTGTTGCACTAGATGTGGGTCCCATGTGACATATACAACACATGTGAAATGCATTGTTTGTTTGCACAACAACTGTGATTGTGGCATTCATGGCTGTAAAGCTCTTTATTTTTTCACTTGATATTGAACATCTTTTTTGTATGTGGCCAGAGCAAGTGCTGACGGTACATATAGTGCTGTGTGCCACAGAAACCATATTCCATGTTTGGTACTACATGGCAGGGCTGTGTGACCATCTTCCTGTC